TCTCTGCTCCTCCAGGGCAAAGCTTGAAGACTCAAAAATTCTTGGGATGGAGACCGGGTTTTTTTCTACAGCTTAACAGTGATAAGCAAAGGACAGAATAGGAGGAGACACATGTAAAACAATCTTAATGAGAGTTTTGGAGGTCTTACAAGGGCTCCCTGTGAAAGCAGCAGAACAAGAGTTAGAAACTGAACTCAGATTTGGCAGTGATGGCTTGGAAGATGTACTTACACTGAATTTCTATTTCTTTTCTTTCTTGCTTTTTATTGTATTTATTTTTGGTACTGGAGATGGAACTCACAGCCTCATGCTTGCCAGGCAGGCACTCATGCCACTGAGCTAAATCCCTGGCCCTTTCGTTTCTATTTCTATATCAAGAGGAGGGAGAGATACTATATTATGCACCATATTCTTCTGCCTTGCTCACACTCCTTAAGCACTAATGCTGTGCAATGAAAACAATGTTATTGACTGCACTCACCTGCACTGGATGAGACTTGTTATTTTTCCAGAACTGAGCATGTTAATTGTTGGGGCTTTTTTGGTTCAGTAGAGAAACAAAGGCAGAAAAGAAAAAAGGCCTTATCAGTGGGCATGGGAGAGCTGCCAAAGAGTGCAAGATCCCTCTGAGGCAAACAAAGAAGCCATGGCGCTTTGATTAGGTTTGACAGGGGATGGTGTTTGAAGAGGCTGGCAGAAAGACCTACTGACAGCTGATGGGGGAGATGCTGGCACATGCACGAAAAGCAAAAAGGTCAACTGGAGATCAGAAGAACACAGAAATCAATATTAGAGGGACACGCTGTCATGTTAGGGTCCAGCACCAGGTTGGGCAGGCACCACGTGAGGTCTGGCAGGCTCCCACATGAGTGAAACCTATCACTAATTCAAGCGGATTTCATACCAAGAGCGGGGGTGATCTGGGGCTGATGCTGACCTCGCAGGGACACCTCCTCCTGTACTTCCTTGTGGCCCCATCTGCCACCCAGTGTTCTTTCTTCTACTGTTCAGTTTCTTTAAGTCAAGGAATGAAACACCTAAAGGAAATAGCAAGGAAGGCTGCATCAAAAACCACGACTGTTTCCTGGTTTATTACCAATAATACCTCCACTCACAAAATTATAGAACAATAAAGAAAATTACAAACCAGGCGACTTTAGTTTTATAGGAAAGTTAGAACATCTCAATATACTAGGATTATAGTAAAATAGATATACACATCTCTCATGTGCACTTATATGCACACATTTTGTGAGATACTCATTAAATTCCTGTGTTGTGAAATAATTCGAGCTTTCATTTTTTGGAAATCGCCTGATTATAGACTTTGATATTTATTCAGTGAATCAATCCTTCAATTTTATAGCCTTAAATCTTTTGTTGTCAGTCAAAACTGCCTAACACTGCTTTTCATTATGATAGACAATGTGAAATCTGCACTTCTAAAAAATTTCTAAGCACATTATTACAGTTTTGTTGCCTATAGGCACACTGTTGTAAACAGAAGTACAGAATTCATACACCTTCGATACCAAATGCCCAGCAACTCACATTCCCCTCATTCTCAGACCCTGGAAATCACCATTCTACTGCCTGCTTGAAAGGTTGCTATATTTTAAGCATCTCATATAAAGAAAATTGTATAGTATTTGTCCTTCTGTGATTGGTCTACTTCACTAACCTTTCTGGGTTCTTCTCCAAAACAACAGAAAACAGGAGTGAATGGATCTGTGCTCCCATGTTCACAGCAACACTTTCCATAACAAACAAGATGTAGAAGCAATATAAACGTTACTGTTGCAATGGATAAAAACCAGGCCATACGATTCCTACAATCCCAAAGTATTCTGCCACTAAAAAGAAGGGGAACTCTGTCATAGGTAACAATGCAAATACATTTCTTTTCAATTAATTTAGTAGCCATAGAACTTTGTTAGGGAAATATGGGAAGCCCCGGATAACTTCTCTCCCACACAAATTACAACTGCAACCAGACACAGACAGAAAGCGCATACTGTACTTCAAAATGCTGCAAGCATGCAGTACCAGGCAAATGGGGACTGGAATCCAAAGGAGAACAACAGCCCACAATGGGCTGTTCCATGTTGCGTTTCTCCTTCTGTGTCTTCCAGCTTTGTTTAGGGAAAATAAATTCCAGTAATCACTGAACGAATAAATTCTGGACCCCAATCCTTGTTTGTATCCAGAGAAGTGTGGACTTCTGCTTGGGGCTGGGGGTGCATCTGAGGCTTAAAGAGTCATCCCCATCCCACTTTTGTGCGTTTTTTCCCTCACCGGTTGCAAAGTTGTCCAGCAGCCTCAAGAGAGGCAGAAGGACCTAAAGCCCCAACAAATGACCTGTGCCCACAAAGGAACAGGCAGTGACTTCTGCTGTATGAAGAGAATGAGGGAAATTGCCACTATGTTTGTACTCTATTGCTGTTGCTGATGGCCTGAGGGTTGACCTGCCCTGGGGAAGTTCTCTTCTTGTGGCAGGAAAATGTAAATGGCATTTTAAAGAGGAGAGAGCTGCAGAAAGAAATCACTGAAGTCTGTGTAAGAGCCAGCACAAGGTCTAGACTCACAGTGAGCGGCTTGCACAGAATAGTTCCAAAGAAGCAAGGCAAAGGTTTTAGGAAGCGACTGAGCTATCAACCACCAGGCATCCAGTAGACCACCGGGGCTGGGGGTGGGGCACTGTGGCCTGAGCACAACCTGGACCCTGCAAAGCAAATGCAGGATGCAGTCTGACCCTGCTGCCTTGACAGCTTTGCAGAACAACAGAACAAGAGAAACCATTGCTTGCCTGAGGATTTTAATAGGAACCAGAGTCTCCTAAATCAACCAGCAAACTGTCCAGGGCACTATCCAAAACTAAGCAATAGTACATATAGAAAATTGAGACCATCTGACCAATCCTCAAGGGAAAGGGCAATATCCAGCCCTGAAACAACCCACTTAAAGGAAGGATCATGGAAAACACCTACCATGAAAGCAGAAAGCCTGATCAAACTGTAGACACTCTGTTAAGCAAAGGTAAAGCCATTCTGTTCTCAGCCACGGAACTCAGCTAAATCATATGATTTCATCAACTGAAAGTGGTGACAACTTTGCTACACACAACTATGTTCACCACAAGATAGCCATTGTACCACAACCTTCAGCTAAAAGCTTGCAACTGTCCCCTGCAACCTGTGTTTGCCACTCTATAGAAAAGACAAGCTCTATGCAATCACCCCCTCAGACTTTGAGGATGACTCCCCTGGAGATCACTAAATTTCCTTTCTTCTCCTGAGCTCCTGGTTACTGTTGGCTCAGTTTCCCCTACAACACTAGAAACAACCATTCTCAGAGAGAGAGAGAGAGAGAGAGAGAGAGAGAGAGAGACAGACAGACAGACAGAGAGAGACAGAGAGAAAGAGAGAGAGAGAGAAGAGAGAGAGAAAGGCCAATACCCTTGACATGAATGGAATATGACATCACTGGAGTTCATTTAATGGAAATAAATAAGCTTCCATCAGAAAAAGAACAAGAGTCCAAGACTCTGTGGGGCATTAAAATGCCAATCTAAAAGCAAAGAGAAAGAAAAAAGAACAAAACAGTTAAGAGTCTCAGAGACATCTTATCATCCTCATGGGTAAAGGAGGAGTCGAGGAACAAGAGAGATACAGGATAAAGTAGGAGATAGGTCACAATTCATGGAAAACACATCTAAGATGCTGGGAAAAGTCTCACCCAAGACATGCTCAACTCAATACACAAGCATAAAGACAATTCTGCAAAATACTCAGAGAAAATAACAGGCCCAATACAAGGAAATGTCAATTTAAAACTTCCCATGCAAAACACACCAGCCACAAGAGACTGAGAGAACACCTTGCAGGGCCGAAAGAAAAGGTCCCCCCAGGCACTGTGTGCCTGTGATTTAAGTTCTGGGGCCCAAATGAATATAAACAGGAAGGTTAGAGAAGGGGAGAAAAACGCAAGAGAATCTGTTGCTAGAAGGCTTGCTACAGAAACACACGAAGGGATTTTCTTCAGGTTGAGGGTAAAAGGCAGGAACAGGCAGGGTGTAACTTCAGGAATCAAAGAGGAGGAAAGGAATGCTGCCTGTTTGGATACCAGAGGCTGGTTACTCTCCTCTTCAGTTCACACACAGGGCAAGAGCAGGAAGATGCAAAAGCCTGATGCCAAAGCTTTCAAGTGTCCCAGGCGGGGCTCAGGCAGGAACCCTGCTCCCCTAGTCCCTCCTCCTAGGATCAGGACCCACAGGTGACAGCCCCAGGGCTCTGCATCAGGGCCCTCAAGGGACTGCAGCAGCTCATTTCCCCTTAGCTGTCCCCCTCAGCCCGGGGAGGAGGGCGGGAAACCTGCAGCCTGTTTGCAAGCAGTGGCAATCCTCAGGGTCGCGGGCTCCTGTCCCCATCTTGCTGCAGAGAGGCAGAGGGACCGCCCTCCCGGGAAAGTTACAAAATGTTGCAAACGCGCCGCGCGCGCGGCTTTTGACCGTTTGTGCACGCGGGCACGCGGGCCTGAGCACCCGCCTGCGGGGCGGTTTTTGGTCTCGAGCTGCGAAGCCGCGTCCCAGCAACAAAGCATTGCGGTTCAGGCGGCAGAGCAGTTGGCTGCTCCAAGCAGTGCGCTCTGGCAAGGTCTGGGATAGAAGTACCCCCCCGTTCCCCAATAGTTCCGGGGAGCAGTGCGGCGGGGCTAGCTTTGCCCCGCAGCCCTGCTCCCTGCCCGCGGGGGCAGGAACTTGCCCCCAGGGCCCACCTTTGTGGGCCCCTCTCGGCACCTGCCCAGAGCCCTGGGTGGGCGCATCCCGCTTAGCCAGTGTGCCCGCGGATCCAGTCCTGACGTCTGGCATCAGGCATCAGGCATCCCGGGCTTGACCTCAGTGCTCTGGGCAAGAGTGCCCGGAGCACTGTTCCCCTACCTGCAGGCCCTTTTGGCCCTTTTGGCCCTTGAGGCCCTTGAGGCCCTTGCGGCCCTTGGGGCCCATGGGCCAACAGGTAGGCTCTCTTCTGGGGAAGCCAGTGCTTCCCGCAGACGATTTTCAGACACGCCGCAGCAGCAGCCGTAGGTCCTCCCGCAGGGACTGCTCGGGCATTTGGCTCTTGAGGCAGGAGGCTCAGCAGAGGAGGGCCGCCCAGGAGGCTGCGAGGCCCCCGTCCGCCTTCAGGCCCGTGGTAGGCCGGCGAGGCCAGGTGCCTTATGTCCCCAGGCCTGGGCCTCTGAGCACAGACCACCGCAGGCAGAGCGCCAGAGCTCCAGCTGCCCCCTCCCCCCAGCCCTCCTGTGTGAGCTCCACGAAGCGAGATGCCATCAGCAGCTCCTACAGCTCCACCGGGGGGCTGCCGGGACAGCGCAGGAGGGCTGCAGCCCCCTCGCACACCAGGCCGCCCCCGGGCTCCGCCAAAGATCTGAAGGCGGCCAGGCAGGACAGCCTCCAGCAACCGTGTTCGGCCCCCCAAGTTCCCCGTAAGACCAGGAACAAGGTGGTTGCAGACACACCATCCAGACACGAAGAAACCAGGAAGGAACAGATGACACCAGAGGGTGCTGGCCTAGGAAGAAGAAAGATCCCTCTCCTGAGGCCTCGCCAAGGGCCACCCCTCAGGCTGCCACCCCCTCCGGAACTAAGCTATAAGATCACCGCGGAGCACATAGATCAGGAGAAGAAGGCAGCATTCCAACTTCTGAATGCCAGGCTGATGGGTAAGTTGCAGGCCCTAGACATCAGCAGCACCACACAGCCTGTCTGCCCTCCTCCCCTGCCTGGCACAGGTACTGCTCCTGAACCCTTGATCTCTGCGGGGGAGAGTAACCACAGAAAGCAGCAGGACTCCACCCTCACCAGTAGCCCTCAGCCTTCCTGCCCTGCTTCCCAGCCTCTGCCAGGCACTGATCCACCCATGATCCCTGCAGGGAAAGGTAAGAACAGAAAGAGGGCCCTAAGACTAGAAAGGGCCCCTAAGATCTTTGATGCCGCAGAGCCTTCCTGCTCTGCTCCCTTGGCTGCCCCAGGGACAGCTCCTCCACACACCATTCCAACACAGAAGAGAAAGAACAAAAGGGAGAAGGCCCCTGAGGTCTTTGACCCCACATGGCTTTTCTGCTCTGCTCCCCTGGCTGCCCCAGGGACAGCTCGTCCAGACACCATTCCAACAAGGAAGGTTATGACAGGTAAGAAGAAAAGGGAGAAGGCCCCTGAGGTCTTTGACCCCACACAGCTTTTCTGCTCTGCTTCCCTGGCTGCCCCAGGGACAGCTCCTCCAGACACCATTCCAACAGGGAAGAGAAAGAACAAAAGGGAGAAGGCCCCTGAGGTCTTTGACCACACACAGCTTTTCTGCTCTGCTCCCCTGGCTGCCCCAGGGACTGCTCCTCCAGATACCATTCCAACACGGAAGAGTAAGAACCAAAGGGAGAAGGCCCCTGAGGTCTTTGACCCCACACAGCTTTCCTGCTCTGCTCCCCTGGCTGCCCCAGGGACTGCTCCTCCAGACACTATTCCAACACGGAAGAGTAAGAAACAAAGGGAGAAGGCCCCTGAGGTCTTGGACCCCACACAACTTTCCTGCTCTGCTCTCCTGGTTGCCCCAGGGACTGCTCCTCCAGATACCATTCCAACAGGGAAGGGTAAGAACAAAAGGGAGAAGGCCCCTGAGGTCTTTGACCCCACAGAGCCTTCCTGCTCTGCTCCCCTGGCTGCCCCAGGGACTGATGTTCCACACACCAATCCAGTGGGGAAGGTTAAGATCAAAAGGGACAAGTCCCCTGAGGTCTTTGACCTCTCAGGGCTTTTCTGCTGTGCTCCCCTGGCTTCCTCAGAGACTGATCTTCCAGACACCAATCCAGTGGGGAAGGTTAAGAACAAAAGGGACAAGTCCCCTGAGGTCTTTGACCTCTCAGGGCTTTTCTCTCCTGCTCCCCTGGCTGCCCCAGGGACTGCTCCTCCAGACACCATTCCAGCAGGGAAAGGTAAGAACAGAAAGAAGGCCCCCAAAGAGAAGACAAGCAGGGAGCCTTTAGGCTCTGCTCCCCTGGCTGCCCCAGGGACTGCTCCTCCAGACACCATTCCAGCAGGGAAAGGTAAGAACAGAAAGAAGGCCCCCAAAGATAACAAATGCATGGAGCCTTTGGGCTCTGCTCCCATGGCTGCCCCAGGGACTGGACCTCCATCCACTGTGCCTGCAGGGAAGAGTAAGAACAGAAAGGAGAAGCCCTTCCTGGGCTCTGGGAAGACACTGACATCTCCAGCCACAGCTACAGCCTCTGCTGTACACACAGACACTAACAGAGTAGAGCTTCCAATGGACGTCACACCTCCACCTGATCCTTTCCTTTCTGGGCCTCTAGCCCCTGACACCAGTGGCAGCTCCCTCCTCTCTGCACAGCCAACTGTGACACTGCCCCTTGGCAGCACAGCCATAGCCATGGGCTCCGGTCCCCAGTCAGGAACTGACACTGGTGTAGAACCAATGGATACCACACCTCCACCTGATCCTCTTCCCCAGGGTGCACCCACTGGCACCAGTGGGAACTCCTTCCCATCTACACAGATGACTGTGGCACCGCCCAGTGGCAGTACAGCCATAGCCATGGGATCTGGTCCCCAGGTGGTGCCCAGCTTTGGGCCGACCTCTACATATGTGACAGCCCCACACAATTCTCTTCTTCTGGCGCCTCCCAATGGCACCAGTGGGAACTCCTTTCCATCTGCACAGATGACTGTGGCACCGCCCAGTGGCAGTACAGTCATAGCCATGGGCTCTGGTCCCCAGGTGATGCCTAGCTTTGGGCCGTCCTCCATATACATCATACCTCCACACAATGCTCCTCTTCTGGGGCCTCCCACTAACACCGGTGGGAACTCCTTCCCATCTACACAGATGACTGTGGCACCGCCCAGTGGCAGTACAGCTATAGCCATGGGCTCTGGTCCCCAGGTGGTGCCCAGCTTTGGGCCGTCCTCTATATACGTCACACCCCCACACAATGCTCCTCCTCCGGGGCCTCCCACTGGCACCAGTGGGAACTTCTTCCCATCTCCACAGATGACTGTGGCACCGCCCAGTGGCAGTACAGCTATAGCCATGGGCTCTGGTCCCCAGGTGGTGCCCAGCTTTGGGCCGTCCTCTATATACGTCACACCCCCACACAATGCTGCTCCTCCGGGGCCTCCCACTGGCACCAGTGGGAACTCCTTCCCATCTACACAGATTAGTGTGGCACCGCCCAGTGGCAGTACAGCTATAGCCATGGGCTCTGGTCCCCAGGTGGTGCCCAGCTTTGGGCCGTCCTCTATATACGTCACACCCCCACACAATGCTCCTCCTCCGGGGCCTCCCACTGGCACCAGTGGGAACTCCTTCCCATCTACACAGATGACTGTGGCACCGCCCAGTGGCAGTACAGCTATAGCCATGGGCTCTGGGCCCCAGATGGGGCACAGCTTTGGGGCAACACCTATATATATCACACCCCCACACAATTCTCTTATTCCTGGGCCTCCCACTGGCACCAATGTGAACTACTTCCCCTCTGCACAGGTGACTGTGGCACCACCCAGTGGCAGCACAGCCACAGGCACATCCTCTGCTCCCCAGACAGGGATTGACACCGGAGTAGAACCTATGGATACCACACCTCCACCTGATCCTCTTCCCCAGGGGGCTCCTGCTGGCACCAGTGGGAACTCCTTTCCATCTGTACAGATGTCTATGGCACCACCCAGGGGCAGCACAGCCACAGGCACATCCTCTGCTCTGCAGACAGGGACTGACACTGGTGTAGAACCAATGGATACCACACCTCCACCTGATCCTCTTCCCCAGGGTGCACCCACTGGCACCAGTGGGAACTCCTTTTCATCTGCACAGATGACTATGGCACCACCGAGTGGCAGTACAGCCACAGGCACATCCTCTGCTCCCCAGTCAGGGACTGACACTGGTGTAGAGCCTATGGATACCACACCTCCACCTGATCCTCTTTCCCGGGGGGCTCCCGCTGGCACCAGTGGGAACTCCTTCCCATCTGCACAGATGACTGTGGCACCGCCCAGTGGCAGCACAGCCATAGCCATGGGATCTGGTCCCCAAGTGGGGCCCAGCTTTGGGCCGACCTCTGCATATGTGGCAGCCCCACACAATTCTCTTTTTCCGGCGCCTCCCCCTGGCACCAGTGGGATCTCCTTCCCATCTGCACAGCTGAATGTGGCACGGACCAGGGGCAGCAAGAGGGCAGCCTCTTCCTGGCTAGGACAGAGCTTGAGCGTTGGTGCGCCCCCACATAAACGGCGCTCTTAGTGTTCCTCTAGCACCCTGCCCACCCTGGGGGCCTCTGATGGGCAGCAGCACGGAGCAGCCACCTCTACCCATGGTCTCCCTTTCTGGGCCCTGGCAGCTCCAGCTCTAGGCCTGGCCCCACCTCCTGTTTCAGGTCAGCCAGCCTCCTGTAGCCCAGCACAGGCAGCCTTTGGCGATCCTGACTCACAAACACGACCTCAGGCATCTTGGACAGCTCCCAGGCAGCTTCTAATGTCACCCAGGCTCTTTTCCCTTCTGGAACTTCAATCGCAGCTGCCTCTGCCACAGCCACCTACATGCCCAGTGCTCTGACCCAAGTCTGGAACAGCAGATGGCCTTTCTCCAAGGTAAAGCTCAGCCCTTATCCAAGGTAAAGCCTGGCTAGAGCTCAGGCTTAGTGATGGTGACAGCTTCCGGTTCAACAAGGGGCCAAGCCAAGGGAAGCTATGGGTGCACCCAGAACTTATAGCCACAGTTAGGGTACTGAGCATGTCTTCAATGTGAGGAGACAGGGCCTTGGGGAACCCAGGGATGTGAGAAGCAAGGCTGCCTCAAACCACCCACCCAAGCCGGCCTCTAACCTTGGCCTTCCTGCTTCTCAAGGGGGCAAAGTTAGGAGGAAGCTGGCCTTCAAGGCCTCTGCACACAATGCTGCTCAGTGAGCCAACAAATCAATACCACAAAAACTCGTGAGTCCATATCGATATAATTAAAATTATTGAATAAATTGACAAAGTAGGGAAAAGAGATGTAAATATAAACAAGCTATGTACAAATATCTAAGTTTCCTCCAAATGCTAATGCCCAGACAAACCAGCACTGGCTGTCTCCATCCTCACCAGGGAAGGGCAGCTACTAGGATCCAGCCACCTCTGACTATGTGATTCAGCCCAGGGAACACTCCTCACCTCTGAGGCACAAGCCAAGAAAGCACAGTCTAGTGGTACAAGGGAACATGAAGACTTTCCTCTGCAGTGTAGACTTGCCAAGTACAAAGTCATGCCTGGGCTCCTGGGCTCCTGGGCTCCTGGGTTCCTGGGCTCCTAGGCTCCTGGGTTCCTGGGTTCCTGGGCTCCTGGGCTCCTGGGCTCCTGGGCTCCTGGGTTTCTGGGCTCCTGGGCTCCTGGGCTCCTGGGCTCCTACCATCACTGATGCTGACACTGACAGCCCAGGAGCCCAGGAGCCCAGGAGCCCGGGAGCCCGGGAGCCCGGGAGCCCAGGAGCCCGGGAGCCCAGGAGCCCAGGAGCCCAGGAGCCCAGGAGCCCAGGAGCCCAGGAGCCCAGCCTTTCTAGGTGTGTTACTAAGTTTCAGCAGAGTTCTTTTGTTTTTTTCTTGTTCCTTGGCTAGAAACGTCTCCTGTCATTCCACCTGCCTAGAGAAGATACTTCCTGTCAAGTCAAAGCTTTCCAACACTGTGGAACTTCTGGGTACTGCACCCCAGGTTCATCCCCTGTGGTCAGAGTAGCTACTTTGTATGACTTGGGATTTTCACAATATCCTGATCATGACCTCATATATGGGACTTAGGGAATGTTTCATGTAAAATTGGGACAAAAGCCCTGTGTTAGGGCTCCTGAATGGTGCACAGTAGATATCTCTGAGGTCTAACCACTTTAGAGTTTTATTCCAGTTTTTTTTATTGCTCTGCTTGCTGCTTAATATATTTATGACTGAATTTTTGGGATTGAATTCTCCTACTAGAATTGTTCAATGGCGTGTTCTTCAGTATTTTCTGTCCTTTCACTTTCCACTTATTCCTAGTTTAGACTCTAACCTGCACAGTGACAGCATAGAGCTGGATCCTACTTTGTTACCATTCTTCAGTGTCTGACTTGGACTTTCATATTTTATTCCATTGATTTTTGTTTACTGTGACCTTTGTTTCTCACATCTTATGTCTTTATTAGTTTTGTTCATTTCCTCCATTATTGTCCCTGTCTTTGTTTTTTTGTTTGTTTGTTTGTTTTGTTTTGTTTTGTGGTCTATCACTTTGGTTCCCTTCTCAATTCCTTTTCTGTTTAATTTTAGAAATGTGTATTTGGTTTCCCTATTAAGTTTTTTCTAATATAGCAAATGTGTAGGATACTGATGATGTTATACAGAAATGATATCCACTGGCTCAGTTTGCAAGGTTCCAGTCCAGGATTCATTACACTGTTGTTCTTACTGCTTTGGCCCCTGGAAAACAGCACAGCATGGTGGGCCTACGTGGCAGAGAGAAACCACCCCACACATGGAAAGAAGTCAAAATCTCTCACTAGGCCACACCTCTTCAAGGTTTACCCCTCCCCCTGGCACCGCCCTGGGGGTGACCTTTAGCCTTTAGCACGCGGGCCTTTAGCCTGCCAAGTTTAACAGTGAAGGTGAAGGTGCCAGTGAAATCTGAACTCTATTGTAACAAGGTAGTTTAAATTAATACAAAGTAAGGTCTGATGTTTGGCATAGAGAATTTGAATATAAGCGTTCTGTTTTGGTTGCCAGCTAGGAGACAAATGCGATGGCCTGCTTGTGTGGTGTATCTTTGCAACATGTGAGCAAGGAATGGGCATGCACTGGACAGCAGAAGGGCAGGCCCGGCCTGTGGTGGAAGCATCAGTAACTGAGGTGCCCACAGGACACGCAGTGACCTGGCGTGAGCAGAGGCGGGAGCTCAGGCTGAGCACTGTGTTACCTCGTGGTCTTCTTAGCTTGAGAGTTGAGGTTAGTGGCACAGACACTTCAGGACAGCCTCTCCCTTCCCTGTCTCATCCCAGGGGATGGGGCCTAAAAGTACCCTAAGTCTACACAAGGGTAACTGCTAACCCTGGCAGCTAGGCTCTGCAACTCCTGCAAAACATGATTTGGTTGATAAGCCTGCTCTTTCCTCAGGAGGACCAGCGAAAAGATCTTTAAGAATGAAAGCACAGGTGCCGCTCAGGTCCTGGACAGGTTGGAAGCAAAATACAGATACCTTTAAAAGAAGTAATGTGTGTTTTTGATACATAATGATTGCGTCCGTCATGGGTCGATGGTACCTGTGCGGGACACATCTTGATTCTCTTTGCCTCCCTGCTCCTCTCGCCTTCCCCTCCCTGCGTTTATTGGCCCTCTTCTCATTTGCAAAGGTCTCTATTCCTGTTTCCTGTCATGCATCTTTTGTTTTGCTCTTTAATTGATGTATACTTTGGGTTTCTTTCTTCTTCAGGGACGTGTCTATTCCTGTCAGTTGCCCAGATTTAATCTTTGATTTTGGGAGATCTAATTTCTTTCTTGGTTTACATATACCAGATATGGGTCATCTATTGGAAACATAGGTGACAGAATATTTTTGCCATCCTGTAGGCTATCTCAGCACTCTGTTGGTTGTTTGTTTGGGTGTGAAGAAGCTTTTTAATTTGATGTGATCCCATTTGTGAATTCTTGATGTTATTTCTCATGTCATTAGGTTCTGTTCAACAAGTCCTTGCCTACAACCCTGACCTCAAGAGTTGTACATATTTTGTCCTCCAGCATGTTAAGTGATTCTGCTTTAATATTTATGTACCTGATGTGTTTTGATTATAGTTTAGTGCTTAGTGACATACACAAGTCTATGCTCAATGTTCTGCACATGGACAGCCAGTTTTCCTAGAATCATTTGCTAAAGACTCTGTCTTCCTCCAGAATGTTTTTGGCCCCTTTGTCAAACATCGGATGGCTGAAGGTGTCTGGAGTTGTTTTTTATTTTTGTTTGTGTGTGTTTGTTTTTTTGAGACAGGCTCTCACTATGCAGTTCAGCCTGGCCTTGACCTGACTATGTAGGCCAGGCTGGCCTCAAAGTTGTGGGGATCCTCCTGCTTCCTGAGTGCCAAGGCCCTCTGGGGTCATTTCTACATTTTTTATTCTGTTCCAATGATTCACAGATCTGTTCTAATGCCACTACCATGCTCTTTCTATCCATGTAGCTTTGTAATATACCTTGAAATCTGGCATGCTGAGGTCTCTTGCTTTGGTCTTTGTTGCCCAGGATTTTCTATTCTAGGTGTCTTCTGATTCCACATGACTTTGAGGTTTGTTTTCTCTAGTGCTGTGAGGAGTTCTGTTGGTATTTTCATCGAGGTTGCATTAAATGGGTGTATGTACGGCCATTTTGATGACATCACCCCTGCTTACCTAGGAGTGGGATATCTGTCCATTTCCTGGTGTCCCCTTTGATGCCTTTTGTTCAGAGTACTATACTTTTCACTGTAGATATCTTTCATTTCCTTGGTTAGGTCAGTCCTAAGTATTTAGGTTTTCTTTATGTTATTGTGAATACAGGATTGTTTTCCTAATTCATTTCTCAATTGGTTCATTACCGGTCTACAAGAACACTACTGACTTTTTATATTTTCCTGCTATATTTTGACTTTGCTTGGAGACTTTTAGTGGAACTTTTCCTCATTGTTGCTCTCTATTTAGTATGATTCTGGCTGTTGGCTTGTCCTCATGGCTTTTATCGGATTGAGATAATGTCCTATTATAGCTATTTTCTTCAGCGTTTTTAATATGAATGGGTGGATTTTACCAAAGGTTTTTCCGCATCTATTGAGATGATTGTGTGATGTTTTTCCTGATATCTCTTTATGTAGTGTATTACATGTATTGATTTGCATAGGTCAAAACATGCTTCTATCCGTGGGATGCAAACTTGATTAAGGTATGTGATCATTTGGATAATTACACACCATGTTTCCTGGATCTTTCTGAGGAATTTTGTATCTATATTCATTAAAGAGATTGGCCTGTAGTTTTCATTTTGTAGTTGCTGTGTGGAGGTTTATCTTGTTTTGTATCAGAATAATGGCAGCTTCTAGGAATGAATGTTTAAAAATTTTTTAGAAATTTAAAGATGGTAAAATAAAACAGAACAAAGCAGATCAGAAGAAAACAATCTAAGTGGCACAGATTTCAAAGCAAAGCAACAGGACATCACCAGTGGGCTACCATAATGTCTGTAGCTTTCTTCTAAATAGTTTTCTATATTTC